GGTGCAAATTACTGACCTCTGTCATCATTTTAAGTGGGGGAACTTGCACAATCGGTGGCTGACTAAATACTTTTTTGCCCCACTGTATTATCTGCAGCTGGAAGGCACTATCTGAGGACGTCCCCCTACTCTCATAAATGTTTCTGTTTACACCTCTGTGAAACACATTAATCCAACAGTCTGACATGCCTCTTGTTGATGCTGGTCTGGCACAGATATACTCATCTTACCAAGCGATACGGAGTTATCAACATGAGTTTTAGGAGCTATTTGGAGTGTTCAGTGTCACTCGATCCCAGCAACTGGTTTGGTAAGTCAAGCATTAAATGTGACACCAAGGTTGAGCTAAACTGTGAATCATTCTTCTTTTCATTGCTGCAGCCTCATTGCATCACCACAGAGTAGAATCGTTTCTAAACATTTGGCTGTGATCTAATGAAAGTGTCTTTTTTGCTGCTTTTATTTAGACATCATCTGATCTGCGTACTGAGTGCTTCCAACCTGAGGTCTCCTGTGATATACAACAGGAGCAGGTCCAGTTACAGGTGTGCGGTTGAGCTAAAAAGCCTGTAAAGCAGCCTTCACGGGATCTTTTCTGTATCCATAAGGAGCTGAACGAATGACACAGCTTTGGATTTATAGGTCGAGGCCTCCAGCCGGGTGGCAAGCTGCAGCGGGGCCCGGGCAGCACAGTGGCAACACCACTTCCATCTGTTTCCATGGTCTGCTCATATCTGCATGCTAATCCTTCTCTACCCACACCTTCATGAAAAACACCCCGGTGGCAGTGCTGCCGCTGCAGCTCGTTCAGGATGAGGAATGAGCGGAGCACGGAGCACAGAGACATGGACCTGAGGTTGATGGGATGTGAAATGCAGATAGAGCAGGGAGTAAAAATCTGAGATTAGTGGAAAACCAAAGGGGCGAGAAGCAGAACTGGCACCCTGGCTATCTAATTTCCACATAAAAATGCTGTCATCACTGAAGCCTGCGCACCTTGTAGATGGACTTGATGTTTGCTAATACATGTAAAACATGCAGAGGAAAGTCAAAGTCAGTTATCCGTCATTATATTAAGGTCTGAAGGTCAATGACATTCAGCGGGTGTTGAAGCACAGCTCCGTGCCTCCGTTCAGCAGATATAGCTGCTGGCAAAAGTCTTCTCAAGCTGACTAATCATTTGTGTATGCAGCTATAATATGCTTTCAATGTCTGAAAATACATATCATCCATCAAAGCACGATTGTAATGTCTTTGGGCTAGAAAAGGGCACTGGGAGTAGGTGTGGCATATCTAAGATCTAATAAATATACATTTCCTCAGGCAAGAAGAGGAAGCTGTGAGATCTAAGGATTCATTTCCTTCTCTGCCGACAGAGCAGATAAGGTTTGATACAGTGTAAGCATGCAAAAATCTATATTTTGCAGGTGAAATGTAGAATTTCATAAGTATATGTTTTGCTGCCATAGTTTATATAGCACTAAAATGGCTAACAGTAAATACCCTTTTTTCTTTATCATTAAAAGTCCACTTTGACCCCATCCATGCCTTTACAGTCATAAAACACATCCTTACCCTATAGCAGGCTGGATGCACCATGCGCTTAATATATGTTTGATCTAAATAACTCTGGCAGACATGTGACTGTGGTGGAGACTGAGATATCACATATATTGGGTCAAAAAAACCCTCAACATACTACAGAGTGAACTGCAAGACAGAGGGAGGCTTGGGGAGGATTTGTTGCATGTAAAACAGTCATCGTACCATGACAGAAATCTACAAGATTTGTCTGCTTTTTCAGAAAAGAAATATGCGGGTTGTGCTGTTTCATTTGGAAGCAAAAACAAAAAAATGTGCCATCTTATCAGAAAAAGACCGATCTCGGAGTCGTTTTGTTTCAGAGAAGAAGAAAAAACTGTGATGTCGTTTCATCAATTTGATCTCATGTCAGTTTTAATTAAAGAAAGAAAAAAAATCTTCCACCAACATTTTTCATTTTGCTAAATTTTGCCCAATTAAAAAGTTCTTATATGTGTCAAAAGAAAATGAACAGCAATATAACATAGCACTTTCCAGTTTTAGCTCTTTTTAGCACTGAGGGTTTACCATCACAGAGATGTGCAGGATGCGGAGCTCCTCCTTCGTAGAGACATTGGCTGGATCCTCAGTCGGTTCTGGGAGGCTCAGGCTGCCGTCTTGGTGATGGATGTGGAAGAGCAGAGTGCCATTCTCCAGCCACTGCTGCCTCCAGCGCACTAGAGGGATGTCCTCCGAGTTCCCAGAGATCTCTTTAAAAACATAAAAGACAAACACAAGAGCACTCAGAAGCTTTCTGCTATTGCACATAAAATATTACCAATATCTTGGAAGAGACCCATTTAAATTTGGACAGTTTACCAGCAAATGGCATCTTCTGATACTGGAAGGTTCAATCGTGCAGATATCAAATATGACAGAAAGTTAGTGAGTGAGCAGTCAAAGGCACGTGCAGTTTTAACTGCACAATAAAAAAAACACACTACAAGCGTTCACTCAACTAACAAAATAAGACAGAAGGGACACATATTCAATTTAATTTAATTTATTTACAGCAGTCCTCCTCTGTCAACAGTCATGTCATGGTGCCTTATTTTGTAAGATAAAGATTCTACAACAAAGAAAACCTCAACAACCAGACAACCCACTACAATCAAGCACTTGGTGATAGCTGGAAGAAAAAACCCGATATCACAGCAAAATGTGTGATAGACAGGCCGGTCCATCGTGTCCATTTAACACTTCGCTTCTCCAAAACGTGAAATGTACACACATGCAGTAAGATGCAGTAACAGCAGAGGAAGATGTTTTATTTCAGGCCAAAATGAAAATAATCATGGACATTTTAACACATGTACATGTAGATACATATTAGCCTCCTAGCTTAATAGTTTCTGGCGATTAAGGACTCTGGAATGCACTTTATACGCTTTTTACTCAGTACCGACTTCATGCCTTTAAATGTGTTATCTCACCCTGCCGGTAATGCAATTCCTGCATGCATGTACATTTCACACTTTGGAGAGGCAAAGCGTAAAACACGGTGGACCAGCGTGTCTGTTACAGGTTTTGCCGTGATACTAAGTTGGAAGAAACCATCAGAAGATCCAGGCTCAGGGAGGGGCAGCCCCCTGTAAGACAATAACAAAACGTCTTTACACAGAAACAGAAACATCTGACTTATTTTAACCTCTACTGACAAAACAGTGAAGGTTTGTTTTATGTCAGTTAGGAGACAACAGAGAAAACATGTGACAAGAGAGTGATTAAAATCATCAGCCTCTATATTCCACATGATTAAAGTAACATATTTACACACATTCATAGTCCCCAGGGGACGAATCCTCCCACGTCACTTGTGTTTTTCACATTCCACAACAGATCATTGCATACTGGGTGCTAGATGAGGAGTCAAGGTTAATCCCTTTACACTTCCTCTAGTACCACCATCAGGTTGGACTTTCAGAGCATTTAGCTCAAAATGCCACTTTTACTAAGTATAACCCACAGAGATCATCATCTCTGTCACCTCTTGTTTGCATGGGTAACAAAGTTTATTGGCATTGTCGACCAAGACGCCTGCAATCTGATGAGCAATTTCATATTTGCAGCGCTCGGCACCCGTAACCTGAGAGATTCAAGGACAGTCGTGACAGTTGTGACATTTTCTATTACAGTAATTCATTCATTCAGTCTGCATTGTCCGGAAATGATTTATGCAAATACGTTGAAATGGATTGCACTGTTTTAGCGTTTTTCTGATCCCTGCTTATACCACTCCCACAGCTGACAGCCGTTATATCCATGGAAGAACAAAAAAAAGAAAAAAATAAACCCACGAGAAAGAAATGAGTAAACAGTGATTTTATGGAAGCAGTGGAGCATGAGAAACATTGTGCTTTGTGTCATACCTCAGCTCCCAAGACAATAAATTCCCCTCCTAGCTATTTGAAATATTAGTGATGTACGCCAAAACACACAGAGTGCAGAAATGGAAAACATTATGAATGCATGGCAGAGCGTTATGGGTGATTTTCTGTTATGTAAGTGTGAAGAGTAGCAAATGCATCAGGTTCATAAGTTAGCAGAAGTCCTGGAAGACATAAATCGAAACAGAGATCACTTAAATTAAGATAAGATAAGATAAGATAACCTTTATTAGTCCCACA